AGATAACCACTATCCCAAACCATTCCAAATTTAATTCCGCTGCTTGATTCTTCTATTCTCCAATTTAGATTAATTTTAAGTTTTTATAGGCACTCTCTTTTTTAAAACAATAAACATTCATCACCAGCTGGAAACACTTTCTCTTTCCATATCCTTCTGTTTTGGAGCCGCCCTGACTTTGTCAGCCTTGGCTGGATTTTTTGTTGCCGGCTTGAAGAACTTCTCTTGTTTCTTTCAGGGATTTTGTGATATCCCCGAGATCAGCAAGACGTATTCTTCCTGTTCACCGTCTCTTTGGGATGGTTTAGGTCCGTTTGGACCACCCAACGGCAAAAGTGTTGGCTGTGGTCTCAAGAGCATTGAGACCACACAACCATATCGTCGCGACATTGGCTCCTCCTTGTGATTTATATTCTTGAACATTGTGAGAAATCAAAAGACTTAGCTTGCACCACCACCCTCTTTCTGGTTGGTTATTGAACGAAGGGTACATAATGTTTTGAGGATTAAATATTATGCTTTCCTACTGCAATCTCTTTGGTATGTTCTAAAAAAGGTTGTTCTACTAATAATTGAAATGGTCTGATTTGGAAAAGCACTGTTACAGTATAAATTACTTATTACAGTTAAAACTATGTTTCAAAGTTGGGTCAATTAAACAGAATTGTCCATTCGGATGAGCGAATGCTTCCAGTGAGGTTGGGATGGCTGATGATGGGTTCATGGGATTTAAAGGTTACAACATTTGACTTTGCAAACTTCCACTTATCAGGCAGCCTCAGATGACAGCATCTGGCTGATCTTGTCTGGACTTAAAAGATAAATAGGATTAACCCTGGTTAGACTGGTGTTGAAGATAAGCAGATAATATCAGGCTAGACTGGAAAATTGAAGAATGTCCTGGAAAAATGCAATAGAATTTTTGCCTTGCTGCCAAGTGAACAATATGGTTACATATCCATGTAATCATTGGGAGTCTACATTCTAGAAGACATCTTTAACTTTTTCACAGAAAGATGGTCACAGTTGTTTCTGTCTTGAGAATCTTTACAGGACTTTCATTAAAATAGTCATTACCTATACCTATATTCTCCCCTTTTTTTTTCTTTATGAGAACCATTACATAATTAAAACATTTTTCCTGGCCCTTACATAAACCACAGTGGAAACATATATTTTATTTGTCATTTGCACTTATTTCTTCTTATAGGCTGGATACAACTCAGCTTAATATAGATTTCAATTTGCAGTGTGTATATTACATTTATGATACGAGGCTATGTGCATTTTGGGGCGGCACCAAGAATTTTCACTTATTATAAGAATATCATTGGCTTAATTTCATCAAGTTGCTCTACAGATCTCTACAGTAATATCTTCAAGACAGTGTCAAGCCTTCTTGGAGATAGGTACCCTAACAAAGATTTTAAATAATACTTTATAATAATTTTTGTGCAGTAAATAATATTGTCTAAAATATGAATATAAGTGTATCCAATTTCAGTGTATATTAATATCTTCTCAGCAGAAAAACTCCTATGAATTTAAATGTTACAGTTTGGTCAGATTTGGTCATTAATACTGAAATTAATATTATCACTACAGAGGACCCATATTTGAACACTTTAATTAAATTTCAACATCACATATCTTTTTTAGATTTACCAACATTTCCTTTGATAAATGGTATACTGTGGGTACATCATGTAATCCCTACTAGTATAATGATGAAGATGTTGACTTCTAGTTCACCATTAGCCACAGAAAAACCTTGGGTGGTTTTTGAGACAATCACGCTCCCGGTCTTACCTATCTCAGAGTGTTTTAACTGTGGAGAAAAATTGAGCTCCTGAAGAAAGGTGGGATACAAAGTAGTCCTCATGTTATGGCTAGTTGAGCTCGGAATTACGATCTTATACCAATGGTTAAATACGGTAGGTCACCACATGACTTTGCCTCATTTTTGCAACCTTTTTAATGATGTAAAAACCACCTTGAGTCACTCAATGGTGAGATGAGTGGCATACAAATTTAATAAATAAATAAGCAAATACCATGGTTGTTATGCAAACCCATTGTCTGCAATGGATATTGTGTCAGAATATGAGAGTTCATGGCTTGGCAGAGACATGCTAACAAGGTCAGTCAATGAATAGGCATAGCAACTTAGTCAGCCAATGGAAACTGAAACAGTATTTGCTGGGTGAGCAACGGAAAGACTTACGTGTGACAGCTCTGAGTGCTATTGCTGAGAATTGAAACTGAAACTGTTTTCTCCTCTGCCTGCGTTTGTACCTACTTAAAATTTCTCATTTTTACCACATTGGAAAACCTGCTTTTGGTATTGTATACTTATTTCATGTGTTATATTATATATAAAGAGAAGTTAATGAATCGTGCTGAATCAATTATCTGTGTGTGCTTTCTGGTTGTGATTGCTGCAACAAACTCTGACATATTATTTGCTGGAAACTGGATATAATCTGAGGATTACTTCAAATCTTGGTGATAAGTAGTCCTGGGAAGATTTGATGTTACTTGGAATAACAGGTCATAAATCAAGGATTACTGTGAATCTAATAAATACTTTTGAATATACAGATACTTGATGGGGAGTAATAATCTTTGTGTTCCTCCAAGGCTTGCTTTAAGGCATGCCCAAAACAAAGGACGATGCCAAATAGAATCTCAATCTGGGATGTAATACATCCCTCTGAGATGGTGAGAAGATAATGTGTTCAAAGTTTTTATATTATAACACTTCTAAATGTTGAGGAAAGGTTGAAGAAAAAACTACTTTGTTTTTAAAGAAAGGCTTTCTTTATAAATAAGTTATGTTTTTTATAACAATTTCCTCTGTTTTTAGATTTTTTCCACGAATTGGTGAACCAAGTATTGAGAGTGAAAATATAGATCTGACCAAGTGTCCTAGAAGAAGAACTATTTTCAGAGGAAAACTGTTTATGTTTCTAACAGCAAAGCAGGTAAATGGCTCACTATTCAAAGCCCTGTCTAGCCCAGGGGGCTAAGTGCGGTTGTAATTGATTTGTATATGGATGAAAGACCACCAGAAATTCAATAATACTGTCATTTTCAGTGAGAAAAATAATAATGTCAGAGAAGGTACTTGCAGTGTGAAAAATGCCAAGAAATCAAGTTGATGGGTATTTAGTATTAATCAAAGCCTGATAAAGAATTAAAGTTATCCTTATGACATAAGTTCTGTTTATAGTATAGATTATGGGTGTCCAACTTTGTAACTTTGGGCTTCAAATCCCAGTTATGCTGGCTGGGGAATTCTGGGATTGAAATCCACAGGTCTTAAAGTGCCAAGTGTTGGGTTGAAAATAACACTGCCCCTCCCTAATACGAGGACCGAGGAGCAAACATTTTTAGGGGTCTGTTAAGGGATCTATCCCTTAATGTTCTTGCCAATGTGTAAAAAAATCAAGTAAGACCTCTAGTTAAAAAAAATGATGGCTCTCCTCCTATGAATGATGAGTGGGACTAAATTTTAGTGTAGGTTGAATGATTGTGGTAGAGTACATATGTGATTACCCCCAAAGACCCTTCACACAGACTGAATATCTGAGGTGTCATGTAGATTTTCCTCGCTGATTCATGTAGATTCGCCTCGCTGATGTTTTGTTTGGGTTTTGAAGAGATGGAACTAGCTTCATATGAATGGACCAGAAATTATTTCAATAGATCTCATGAATATGATCAAAAATTAAGTTAGTAACTTTGACCAAAGCATATAATATTAAAATTTGATAGAAATCTAGGTTTAATTTATGGTCATTATAAAGACAGGTAACAAATCAATTCTCTAATAGATAATTGCATATATGTACTACAGTATGTATGACGTAAGAGGAAAGGTATTTAAATTTCTTAGAATTCTATCTTTGAGTTTCAATTGGATATTGGCTTTGGTTTATTTAAAGTTAGCTATTGAGTTTCATTCATTAATCAAAGGCAAAAGAACATGCAGTTTTTAAGGGTCCAATAACAAACCGCTTGAAAGAAAACAAAGATTCAGGACTTGTTTTTATGCACTTTTATGCTCAGCGTATGTGTATTTTTTCTCTTATGTTACCTACACATATTATTTTATGTACTATACAGCACTCAAATTATGAGGGTGTATTAGCTCCCTATTAGCTATCTAGGTAGCAATTTTAAGAAGGTATCGTAGACAGAACAAAAGAATATATCACAACTGTGCCCAAAATTTCTGATGTTAAACAAGACAGTTATTAAGTGAGATTTGTTCCATTTTACAATCTTTTGTGTTAAGTGAATCACAGCTGTTATGTTAGTATTAAATGGTTATTAAGTGAATCTGGCTTCCCCATTGACTTTGCTTGTCAGAAGGTTGCAAACAGTGATCACATGACTGGGGGACACAGCAACAGTCATATATATGAACCAATTGCCAAGCATCCAAATTTTGGTCATGTGACCATAAGGGCTGCTACAATAGTTGTAAGTGTGAAAAACAGTTGCAAGTCACTTTTTTCACTGCCATTGTAACTTTGATTGTTCACTAGATGAATGGTGGTAAATTGAGCACGTCACTGTACTTAACATTTTTATTGCAATTTAGAGAGGCCTCTTTCTGTTATTCTAATATTTAATTTTTGAAATGACTCTATCTATCTATCTATCTATCTATCTATCTATCTATCTATCTATCTATCTATCTATCTATCTATCTATCTATCTATCTATCGCACATTAATACCAGCTTAGTTATTTAAATTTAATTTCATTCTAGCATGCAAAATTGAGTTCAGCAATTAAGCTTGGAGGCGGAGAAGCAAGACTGTTGACTGACAAAACAGAAGATACTGCTGTTTTAATAACATCTAACACTTGTGTGATTGAAGTAGGATCTACAAACTCCCAACCATCACTTTCTATCTTGGACAAAAAATGGATTGATAATATCACAGCTGCCTTGCAAAGGTGTGGCTTACTGTTTATAATTCATATAGAAAACTGCTGTGTCATCAACATCTTGTGATATGGTGCAAAATTAAAAACATAAAGGAAGTATTCATCTTACACCATAGTTTATTAACTTGTGCAAGAAAGTACTATTTGAATTTGATTAAGTTTTTTTTTCATTTCATCACACAATTTGCTCCAAGTATTCTAGATTAGATTTTATTGTATTTAGTATGAATTGTGACAGTTTTTGCTATGTAACCCACTATCAGTTGTACGGTGACATGTATTTTTACAGAAGAAAATTTTGAAATGTTTTAAAATAAACTTTAAAGATGACGGATAGGTTGACATTGTAAGGTTCCATGTAACTTATTAAGGTTCCTGTAGCCTCCTGTAGCCTGAAAATATGTGTTGATGTACTATCAAGGCTTTGGATATAATTGTCCAATTATACGTAACCCCCACCCACCCCAATTGGTTGATTAAAAGAAAGATCCATGGTGGCGCAGAGGTTAGAATGCAGTGCTGAAGGGCTAAGTCATTGCTCACTCCAGGAGTACAATTCTGAGCGGCTCAAGGCTGACTCAGCCTTCCATCCTTCTGAGGTCAGTAAAATAAGGACTCAGATTGTTGGAGGCAATATGCTGACTCTGTAAACTGCTTAGAGACGGCAGTAGAGCACTATATTAACCAATTACAGGAAATAATTTTTAATTTTTTTATGAGAGCCCTTAAGTTTTAAAAACTGGCACAATTGGGAATTGTAGACTTAAAACTACACATTAAAAATGAATCCATTCCCTGTATTCCAAGAAAGCATTTTAAAGAGTAGGGAAAGATCTAGCAGCCTACATGAATGTTTTGTGGCTATTCTGAATTCTGTGTGAAAGTCTGTTTTTAAATATTTTTCTGGATATTTTTAGATGAATGATACTTTTTTGATAGCACATTTTATTTCTGTTAGGAAGAACTACAGAACAATCTCAGAGGCAGAAATCGGTTTAGCAGTTATTTTTGCATCTACAGAAAAATACTGCAATCCTCAAATTTCACCCAGTGGAGGTAACAAAAATACTTTTTTCCACTTTGTTTTATTCTTTATTTTGTTTAAGAAATTGATATTTAGTCAATAACACTAGGGTGGCTGTTTACCTGTTTTACTAAATTGCAGCTTGGTTTTATTTTTAAATAATGTACCATACAAAAGTAATTTACCTCCCCCCCCCAAATATTACTGTCTTTCTCTCTTCTAATCCCCCCCCCCATGAATTTACTCAACAAACTATGCCTAAGCAAACCATGCTTAGCCTAATTTATAAAAACAATCCTTGTGAACCCAATCTTTTCATGCATTTGCGTTTTATTTCTAGAATGTAACCAGAGAGTCCTTTTTTCTGTGTTTATGCATTGTGTAACCCCTTCCAAATACTTAACAGAGCAGCACAACTAAAATTCACTACATATAGCAAAAAGTGAGTTTTGAATTACCAAATCCCATCAGCATTGACTAACCTCAGAGAGAATTTCTGAAATCATTTCTAATTTCCTTCCCTATAGATTTGATCTTTTGGATACACCTTTTTGTTAAGTGTTGAGTGTTAAGTGTTAAGATGTCCAATGCAAATGATCACATTTACTGGGCCCATTATTTGCCTGTGTTTAAGGTAATAAAACCATGGGTTACATCACACCTGCATTATCTGAATACCTCATAGCAAGCTTCATATCTGCATCAGTACAGCATACCAGTATGTTGTACTGATGCAGATATGAAGCTTGCTATGATTTACAGTAATAGTAGTGGACTTTATTATTGATGTTTTGATTTATGTTGGGAACTGCCATGAGGTTGTGGTTTTCAAATACCATAATTTGTTAGATTTATAATCTGCTTTTCCTTCAGGAACTCAAGGCAGTATTAAGACTAAGATACACTTTATATATAGAACGAAAACATCATTGGGAATAATAGGAATAACATTTAATATTTTTTACTTAGTAACATGTAGACATTCTGTATTCTGTAGAGCAAATATGAACGTAAATATTGTAACAATACTGTACATAAAAATAAGCATAAAACATTAGAATTATATGAATTTAATTAGCATAACTCTGATGAAATGGTTGTTAATTTTGCCTTCATATCTAAATTTCAGATATAAAAACTGCTACCCTGGCATCCCAACTAAGTCAGTCTCAGAGTGTGGCAGTGGAGGAAACAACAATGCCTTCCAACCAAGAGGACATCAGTGCATTTGTAGCTGACACAGAAATGGATGAAGTGATGGACACATTACTGTAAATTATTATTCTGATTTTTTTTAGTTGCTTCCAAAACTATAATTTCTTACCTCTTCAGTAATTGCTGAAATTGGGGGCATCTTATATTGTGTGTGATTTAGTGTAGTGTAGAAACTTCGGTGAATGGACTGGATTGGATCGGATTGGAATGGAATGGAATAGAATAGAATAGTTGGAAGGGACCTTGGAAGTCTTCTAGTCCAACCCCGTACAGAATTAAGAGAATCACACAGTTGGAAGGGACCTTGGAGGTCTTCTAGTCCAACCCCGTACACAGGCAGGAGACCCTATACCATTTCAGATAAATGGTTGTCCAATCTTTTCTTAAAAACGTCCAATGTTGGAGCATTTACAACTTCTGGAGGCAATTTCAAATGATTGTTTTAACAATTAAGTTGCTTATTAAGGAGAATCGGGTTGTGTGGTTCATTCAACCCAGACTAACTTGGCTGAGATGGGCAGTTATAGAACATGAGTAAATAAATAGTCAGTTATGGATGGACATCTAAGTATACAAATAAGCAAATAAGACCTTTTTTTTAAAAAAATAGCAACCTATACTTGGAATATTAATTGGATTATATTTAAATACATGTATTTTATTCTGTATTTTTATATACCGTTTACACACTAGGCAATTAAACAAAAGTTTTAATTCTTTTGAATATCACATCTTTTTTGAAAGCATGCAAGCATACAATCTTAAATAGTAGCCTTTTTCTCATATTAAATAATAGGAAAACATTAAAATCATTGAGGGTCAGTAAAGAGGCAAATAGGGATAAGACTTCAAAATACCCCACAGTTTTGTATTGTGTTAACATTTTCTTAGATGTCAAAACAATTTGGAATTCTTCAGCTCAAGGAGTGTGCTTACCTCAGTTTTGATTAATATTTTTTCTAAACTGTTTTCTTTTACAGTATGGAATTATCACAAGACGAAAAAAAGCCTGTAACCCAGTCACAGGATATAATGACTGTTAGGGAGACTCCAGAAGGAACAGGTAGTGTAAACCGAGAAAGAATCCTGCCCCAGCTAAAGAAGACACACGGAGCTGATTTTGCCAGTCTAGCATGTTTATCTTCTGAAATTTCAAGTCATAGCAGGAACAGAGAGGAAGATTCACAACAACTCAATTCGATTAAAAATTACTTTCAGACCACTGTTAAAAAAAGGTACATTAATTCTTTTTCTCATAATGGATTCTTAAGGGTTAAAAAAGTTCTCTTTCTTAATCTGTATTTTTATGTTAGTTAACTTAGTTCCTAAGATTTTAAAGGGAGCTGTTATTTGATATTTATTCCAATATTGGTTATTACAGAGTGATCGGGGCTTGGTAGAATTTAGAGTTGGTCTTGCTTGTAAAGCAGGATTAAATGTAAACACCTCCTTGTTGAAATATCCATAGGGCCTCTAACTGTACCTGTTCAATTATCTATTGTTGACTAGAAAGATATTTTAAACTAAGGCCAATTTTTCAGTCTCTTTTTTTATTTTAAGAGAAAGGAATGAGGAATTAGAAACACCATTATCAAAACATGCAAAGATGGATAAGAAGTCATCACAGGTTTCCCATCAAACACCATCTGTACCTTTTTTGCTACGGGAAAACAATGTGGATTCTCAAAAAGGACAGCGTGCAGCAACACAAGGAGTAAGTGACTCAAACTTGGACTCAAGAAAATCTTCAATAGTGGAAAATAACAAGTTAAAGCAAACAGGAATGAAAAGTATCCTTCTTGAAATGCCTGCATCAAAGAAGAGAAAGAAAATAGAGGATCCTGTGGAAGATGAAGCTTCTTTAGAACTTGTATTTGCAAGCCAAGAATTGGATCTAGAAGAGAATATAGGAGAACAGGATGCGAAAAACACTCAGAATGCAAAGAAGAAAGTGAAATTGGATCTTAAAGAAACCACTTTAAGAAACACAGAAACAAAAATAGAAGCCACTAGATTTTTGGTAAGACCTGCTTTTCCTCATGGGATCTATACATATATTAAGTCCTTCAAATTGCAGACATTTTACTATATTAATCAGTTAGCATTTAAATAATTTCCTTTCATATATCTATTCTTGCATGTAATACCTTAATTTTGTTCCACAATGTAATGTAATTAGCAATTACATATTTGCATTCTGGGGAAGCACATACACAAAATATCACCTTGTGGTAATCGTCAAATAAATCTAAGCATCTTAAATTACAGTAGTACACGCGGGTGCAATAATTCAAGCTTTTTTTCTGAATTCATAAACTTAAGTGTAGGCTGATTTTCTGTCTTAAAATGCTTGTGAACTTTTTAAAAAATGATTATTTAAAATAGGAAAGATTCTTATAATTATTTTTCAATGGAATAGTTCAAGATTGGGGAACATCATGAGAAAGAAGAGGAAGTCAAACTATTCTCCAAAGCACCTGGGGGAAGTATAAGAAGCAGTGGGTGGAGACTAATCAAGGAGAGAAGCAACTTAGAACTAAGGAGAAATTTCCTGACAGTTAGAACAATTAATCAGTGGAACAACTTGCCTCTAGAAGTTGTGAATGCCCCAACACTGGACGTTTTTAAGAATAGATAACCATTTGTCTGAAGTGGTGTAGGATTTCCTGCCTAAGCAGGAGGTTGGATTAGAAGACCTTCAAGGTCTCTTCCAACTCTTGTTATTCTAAATTCTAAATTAGTGATGATCAAAGCATGGGCAGCTTTAGAAAGGGTTTCAATGCATTCATGGACTATACTAATGGCATAAATGGTTATACTTGAATTGTTTCTACTAATAGGATAAGTGAATCTTGGGTTAGTAAAGGAAGGATGCCTAAATAAAAGCAAATACCTGGTTATTATTATTTTTAAAAAGGAGTTGGGGATATATCTGCTAGGC